TCTCAGAAATGTGGAAGGAGAAAACCTCCCTAAACAAAAGTCAGGAGAGATCATCACCACCTAGCCTGTGCTATAGGAGTTGCTAAAAGGAGTTTTTCGATGGAAACAAACTCTGCAAATTGATTGCAGAAAACTTACAAAAGCACAAATCTCAATACTACATGTTATGCCACAAAATAATATTTGTAATTCTCTAAGACTGTAGCAAAACTTGTAATCTTTATTTTCTTTCTTTTTCTTTGGCAACCCTGTCCCCATGGTCCCACAGATTGTCCCCTAAAAGCCAGTGCTCTCTCCCTCCCCTCCCCTTTTACTCTTTTAAAATAACTTTTACTGAGATTAAGAGATTACATAAATTTCACAATCTTTATTTTCTTGTACCATGAGTTGAACTTAGGACCATGTATTCAGTGAAAATATTTGGCTTCTTCACTTAGCTGGTGTTCTGTAACTTGAGTCATACCTCTATCCCGGCATTTTGCTAGTTATTTTGGGGATGGAATCATATCTGTGAGGATCTTCAATATTCTTACCACATAAGAAAGTATGCAAGATGATGGCTATGTGACAATCATTTTATAATATATTCATATGCCAAAACATCATATTGTATACAGCGAATTGGTATCATGGTTTTCATATGTAACTTACAAAAGTTGGAAAACAAATTTTAAAATAGTTTGCTTAATATGATAAAGTATATTTGAGGCAATACATTGTTACTATTTGCAACCTTGGCAATTACTTCTAATTGGTAATGTAATGCTGGCAGACACCAAATATTTACTTGCCTTTATATATTCAGCCATAATTATATGTTAACTTAATTAGAACCCACAATGAGAGACAGGTTGCTAAACCCAAATCTTTCATGCACACAAAGATACCACTGCCTACTTTGTAAACTAGAAAGGAACAATTTAGTCATTCTGTTGCTTAATTTATTTAATATATTTGTATTGCATTAATTTATTTGGCTGTGCAACTACCTGCAAGTGCTTTAACTGGCTCCATTGAAAGATCCAGTATCATGTCTAAGTCTTTAAGAAGCTATGTTAATTTGAAAATAAAGTTTTAGCCCAAAATCAAGAAACTTCTTTTAAAAATTAAGAAACAACTAATTCAACAGTGATATTCACAAGATAACACTTTCAAAATGATATGTAAAAACTTGGAGGGATGGGAGAGGGAAAGTAGGAGAAAATGAGGGAGAGGATAACAAGTTCAACATGAAATATACTTGTTACCTTACTTATGTAACTGTAAGCCCTGTGCACATCACCTTGGCAATAAAATTAAGAAACTTATTTTCTTTCTGGGATCTTATTAAAATTTCAATTGCAATGATCACTGATACCAAAAGTTTCTCCTAATTAATCCCTAAGGAAATTAACTTTGCTCTGCTTCTTCCTTTGATAATTACACTTTCTTCTCTATTTTGTAACAGACCTGTTTCTGTTTAGAAAATTGTTTAAGTTTGTATGTCTATGTTTTCCCAATAGTCAGTCTGATATTTATTTTTTATGTCAATTTTGTCTAACCACACTCCAAAATTAATTAATGAGATATTGACAAGTGTAAAATGTAGGTAAATTTAGATTATCCCCCCCCAATTTGAATGTGTATAAGAAGCTGAATTAATGTATTTTGTATTTATTAATAAGGCCCCAAAAATAATAGCCATTGAGAATCACTGGAAAATATATGGATTTATGCTCTTAGAAATTTCCTATTTAACACAGACTTTTTTTGCAATTCATCTGTCATTTTGGTACTTAGTGAAAACATGGTTGGGCATGTCTTTTTAAATGAACAATTCCAAAAGTTATTACAGAATTTATATTTGTTAAAAAAAGAAATTTCCTATTTAGAAGTATCTAAGCATTTTTAAATTTAAATTTAAATTTCATTGGAATTAATTTTAATCACTTGGAGGCTTATAAGGACATAATTTCATATTTTTATTGTAAAAATACTGTACAGAGGGCTTACATGAGTAAGGTTATGAGTATATTTCCTCTCCAGCATTGTTACTTCCTCCTTTGTTTTTCCTCTACCATACCTTCCCTCCCTACCTCCCCAACTTCTCGCTCCCCCACCCCAAGTTGTAACATTCATTTTCAACATAGTGTTTGTACATCTAATTGTTACAATGAGTCAACCTGTAAAAGACATAATTTTTAAATCTTGCTTAGTATTCTTTTATATTATGTAAAATACGCTAGTTTACAATTTATGCAGTGCTATCTAAATACCACCTTACCAAACTCAATTTTTTTACCTGGTATTGAGAACTCAGGGCTTTAAACTTGCTATGTTTGCTTTCCTGGTTGGCACTCTACTTCTGGGGACTCCAGTCTTGCTTTTTGCAGGTTATTTTGGAGGTGGAGACATTCCTGATCCAGCTGATTTTGAGAGTCAATGTTTTAGATCTCAAGTTCCTGAATGGCTAGGATTCCAAGTGTAAGCCTAGTACATTGTTATTTTAAAAAAAGTGAACACAACATTTACATGGCATGTATACCAACTCTAGATTTACTTAACCCCCAACACAGCCTCATTGATCATTCTTGATGACTGCAATCATGAAAGTGATATTAATTAGAACTATAAAATATGTTTACAATGAATTAAAAATAAGCTAGTCAGTAACTTCAATAAAAAGATGAAGCCTACTGTGTTTACAAAGTCATGATTTCATTCATGTCTGATTCTATTTACAGGGCTATCTCTTTGGAAACATTTTCTCAGGATCATTTATGGCTGTAGTTATGCTTATGAGAATAATAAATGATGCCTTACTACTTACATAACCATATGAGTGAGATAGAGATGTTTGGACCACTTCTATCATAATGTAGCTGTCAAAAAAGCCACTCACAGGTAGTCATTGAAGAGTGAAACATAATTTAAAATGCACAAAACTGTTCACACATTTTTATTTAATGTTACACAGGAGACACGGATTACAATTCAGTCACTTCATTCTTATTCAAAATTAATATTTTCTTCTCTTCTACTTTTCTTGCCATTATACAAAGTGTAATAAAAGCTGGGCACAGTGGCTCATACCTGTAATTCTAGCTATTCAGAAGGCTATGTCTGAAGATTGTAGTTCAAATCTAGCCCTGGCAGAAAAGTGTGTAAAACTCTTCGTTCTACTTAACCTCCAAAAAGCGCAAAGTGGTAGAATGCTCGCCTTGAACAAAAAAGCTCAGAGTCAGTACCCAGGTGCTGAGTTCAAACCCCAGGACTGGCACATGCGCGCGCACACACACACACACATACACACACACACACACACCCCATGGTCTGTTACAGAAAAAAAAAAAGTGAGATTCTTGGCATCTGTGTCTTCACAAGAAAAACCAAATGGATCCTTCCAGGGAAGAATTGTTACTCATTTGCAAGACACATTCACCTAGGATATCCAGTTTCTCTGGCCTTAAAATATGAAGTTAAATATTGTTACATAAAATATATTAAAGAAAATATCCACTTCTATAGGAACATCAACTCTAACAGTGATTACGAAAGAGAAAATGTTGTATATTGAGTGGATTGGCAACATATTACTTTTAAGTGCAATTGTAAATTTCAGGGAGGAATTGTTCTCACTCACTGGCAAATATGAGAGTACCTGCAACATCTATTGTTCCAATATTGTGTTATTATGGCATAGGACTATATGTGTTTACCTTTAAAATCACACACACACACACACACACACACACACACACACACACAAATACACACAAACACACACATTTCCTGACTTTTCAAGAGGAAACTTATGTAAAGAAAATAATTGAACCTGTAATTAAATCTGCAGTCTCCAAATTCAGCAATATTAAAATAATTAGTATGCAGCCTTTTGAAATACTATATTTGTTCATATATTGTAGTCAAATTGTCTAACCATCTATAAAGCAACTGTTTAAATATATCCAAGTAAATTAATAAAATTATTGCTATTAGTTATTTAAATGTACTGTCTTCCTGATGAATGGGAATTTTTTAAATTTTATTTTATTTTCAAGATGATGTACAGAGGTGTTACTGTTACATATATAAAGAAATAAGTACATTTTTTTATCAAACTTGTTATTCTCCTCCCTTATTTTTCTCCCAGTTTCTCTCCCCCGCTGCTACCCCCAAATTGTATAGCTCATTTCCAACATATTAGCTTATGAATATTACTGTTGTATTGGTTCGCCCTTTGACCTTTGTCTCATTGGGTAATTTAAATTTAAATTAAAGCAATTGAGAAGAATATATTTTAGTTTTATATTTAAGGGAAGCACATACTGTTCCTAAAATTATACAAAACAAGCAGGCAAATAAAAATCTGAAAATTAAAAACAGAAGTCTATACTCCTTTGAAAATTCTCATAAGTAACTTTAACTGTACATGCATCTTAAAAAATTGGATAAGGTTCATTTCAAAGCTTTCCTTGATTTTCCTTTATTTTGAGGAAGAACTGAGACTCACCTTCATCTTGACATTCCTAGTAAGATGCATTGATCAGAGGTTAGGAATTCACAACTTAAAATTTGAGGTCTTCCATTCCTCAGTACCACATAAACAGAAAAAGCCATACATGGTGCTGCGGCTCATGAGCTAGATTGCTAGCCTTGAGCAAAAGAAGCTCAGGGACAGTGCCCAGGCCCTGAATTCAAACCCCTGGACTGCCTCAACAAACAAACAAAAACAAATAAATAAATAAATTGAGGTCTTCGTGATAAAAAGAAAACAAAACATGAAACAGTGACTGCAAATAATGACGTGGTGACTATAGATGTATATGGTTAGATTGACAGTATTTGATTGAGCTGAGAGTGATGTTTACACATCATACATTACTGTCCATAATAAATGCACGCTGATCCTCTTGCTCTGCAAAGTCTGACACACTGCAATTCCTACTGATAAAGCATAGTCTTACGGAATTGAAGTGTGAACTGTTAGAAATGCAAACTAGTCAACATCTAGCGCTTGCAGCATGTGATTCGATCGCTTCTCTCTAGGATTCTTGCGATGGCTCCCTTCACTTCCTTATTCCTCAGGCTGTAAATGAAAGGATTCAGCATAGGGTTGATAACTGCATAGAACACACAGATCAGTTTGTCTCCCTCTGCTGAGTAGAGTGACTTGGGCCTCAGGTACCGAATCAAGCCAGTTCCGTAATAGATTGTCACCACCGTGAGGTGGGACGCACACGTTGAAAAGGCTTTTTTCCTACCCTCTCTTGAGTCTGTTCTCATCACGGCCACCAAGATTCGAACATAGGAGAGAATAATGAAGGTGAACGGCACCAGCACTGTGCCAGCCCCTCCTATGGCCATCATGGCTTCCAGCAGGGACGTGTCTCCACAGAACATATGCAGAAGTATGGGCAACTCACAGAAAATATAGTCAACAGTGTAAGGTCCACACAACGGGAGGATGGTGAAGTAGAGAGGAACCACAGAAGAAAAAAACCCTATGATCCAGGCCCCGGAAGCCAGTGACACACACACAAACCAGTTCATGAGAATCAGGTATCTGAGTGGGTAGCAGATGGCCACATAGCGATCCAAGGCCATCACTGCCAGGAGAAAGCACTCAGCTGACTCCAGGAATAAGGTGAGATAAGTCTGAACAAGGCAGAATGTGTAAGATACAACTTTCCTGCTTGCAAGAAAATTGAAGAGCATCTTTGGCACTACCACCGTGCTAAAAGAGACATTGAGGAAAGCCAGATGGCAGAGGAAGAAATACATGGGGGTCTGAAGAGAGGTATTTAGAAGCACCAGTGCGAAGACAGCTGTATTTCCTAAGCAATTTGCCAAGTAGACCAGAATGAACAAGAAGAAGAGGGGAATCTCAGACTGGGGATAGTTGGAAAATCCCACCAGGATTAGCTCAGTGATGGTGCTGGAATTCTTATGCTTCATTTGAGCCACTGAAATATGCCTATTCAAAGGAGAAGGAAACAAAAAGATCTTAGATGAAATATGTCTAGGTTCAAATAATTCCTTCAATGCTTAAGATATAAGCGTTTTAAATGGCAAGAATGTTTTTTGTGAAATTTTCTTAGATGTGACAACTCGGCATCACATTCTTCAAATCATGACCTGTTCTGGGAAATTACACAGATGTGTGGTTTCAAGTTGAGATTTTTACTCGCTTTTTTACATTGTATCATAAATACTAGAGAAATCCTCTATGTCCAACAAATTACTTTATCTCTTAAAAGTAAAATAAAAGTCAATAAATTAAGATGACTTGTCCAACAGCCTAAGCTGAAATTATGAAGTTTCTAAACATTTACATTCTCCTCCAAATATGTTAAAATTAGAAGTGATTTTGTCTATTTCTTTTACTAACAAAAAGAGGTCTTTTGTCTTTTACCTCGCTGACCCCTAAGGAAAATAGTCATCTCATATAAGTGGAATAGCACAGCTATTTTAATATTTCAACCATGTTAGCCACCTTAGCGTTAATCAAATTAATAATCTAATCATCTAAACCACTGTTCTTTGATTTCCAATCATAATCATAGAGAATCTAATGTAATTATTTAAAATCAAGATTTTACCACTTTAACTATAGTGTGAAATTGCCCTTATGGAATTATACTTCACAAATATACATGCATTTACAACAATATGTTTTGTAACTTCTTGCCATGAATTTTTTTCTTCCTTTGTGTACAACCAAAGCTATGTACTGAATAGACCATAGGACACACAGCAACTATGTCATGAAAGGAAAAGAGACAGAAGCATAGAAAGCCAGACAGCAAGAAATTAGAGAGAGACAGAGACAGACAGACTAACACAGACAGACACAGACAGACAGACAGACAGACACAGATGTAATAGAGAAAAGAGTGAGAGAGAACTCAAGAAGAGCCACAAGACTTGGATTCTGTGTTGAGGGAGTGAGTGGCTATATGAAGAACAGTGGACTTTTTCAGCCTTTTGAGATTAGCAGACCTGTTCACCAATAGTCAGTACTGTCTATGTCTGAACAAACACATTTTCCTGAAAAGGATCAAAAATTCTAATCTTTACCTGTAAAGATGTCAGGAGAACCACAGCCATTCATCAACCATCACATTTAATGCTATCTAGTAATTATCATTTCTTCAACAGTGAGCTCCTCAGCTAGGTGGAAGATAGATTATGAAGAACTGTGGTTATTAAAATGAAAGTTCTTGTTTTCCTGATCATGTATTGTTAGTTGTAGCAAGAAACTTATCCATATTCTCTTTATGTATTTCCTTACCCATCCCAATTTTATATTTACTGTCAATGGATTAAAATCAGAGTAAATAAAATTTTTCTGTGCATTATAAAACCAGAGTGGAAATTTTATGGCCTGTATAAAATCAATTAACAGAGACAAAGTTTTACTTGAATTCTCAAGGGAAATAACTTCATTGGAAAACACTCAAAAAACAAATTAATTATTTTTCCACTTACTGCTAATGGTAAACAGTTCGTTAATGTAATTTATAATTTCCTACTTACAATGACGTCTACCTCCATTAATTTTGGGAGAGAAGCATCTCAACTTGGAAGTTCAACTTTTTAAAAAAGTATTGTGTTAATGACATCATACTTTTGGCTTTTTAATTTTGGTTTCTTTCCCCTTACAATTATGTAATCATATTAATTATGCATTTGATGAGCGTCACAGTGACAATTCCATGCTCGCATCTGGTATCCTTGCTTCCATTGTATCCACCCCTTTTTCATTGCCCTCTTATCCACTCTCCATGTTCCAATTCCCATCCATAGTAGTCTATCTCCTATGGTCCATTCAATTTCCTTTATTTTAAATTTCTACATATGAGAGAAGACATGTAATGCCTTTCTTTATTTTTTGTATGATTTATTTTCCTAAAAGTGATAAATTCCACTTTAATCCATTGCTCTACAACATGCTTCCATCGTCTACTGCATTAAAGCACCACATTGTGTTTAGCCTTCTGTTTACTGAGGAACACTTAGACTGATTCTGTATCTTGGTTATTGTAAATAGGGTTACCATAAATAGGAATGTGTAAATATCACTCATATGTTATCTTTAATCCTTCCCGTGAGTACCTAGCAGTGGTATAGTACATGGCAGCTATATCTGTAGTATGTATGCAAGAATGTATGTATGTGTGTATTTTGAGAAGCCTCTATTCTGATCTGCAAAATGTCTATATGTCTTTACATTCCCACCAATCATGTGTATGTAAGAGTTCTTTGTGCTTCTATATAAAGTTTAGGGTTTTTCATTTTGCATTCATTTGATGGGGATTTCATTGAATTTGTAGATTTCTAGTTGTATGACCATACTAACAATAAAACATGAGCACAAAAGGTTCTACCATCTCCTAATATCTTATCTTCCTCAGTATTATTCTTCAGTGTTTATGTTTTTCATATATATTTTTATTGTAAAGATGCTGTACAGAGAGGTTACAGTTACATGAGTAAGGTAATGAGTACATTTCCTAATGAGCATTGTTACCCCCTCCTTTGTTTTTCCCCTTCCATTCCTTTCCTCCCTACATCCCCTCCCTCCTCCCCTCCCCTCCTACTTCGCCGAGCCAAAGCTGTAAAGTTTGTTTTCAACTTAGCGTCTTGTCCATCTCATTGTTACAATGGTTCATCCCGTATCCTTGTTTCAGCATTTTATTATTTCCTTTCCCCTCCCCAAATTATAAAAATATATATACAAGATGTAAGGCACTGGAATCAAATACAGTGAAAGGAGGGAGGGGTTATACCATAGGGAAAGAACATACAAAAGAAATGAAAAAAATCACATAGTACATAATAAGTACATCAAAAAACAACATCAGCAGGGCTGGGAAGTTGGCTCAGTGGTAGAGTGCTTGCCTTGGGTTCGATTCCTTAGCACCACATAAGCAGAAAAAAGCTGGAAGTGGTTCTGTGGCTTAAGTGGTAGAGAGTTAGCCTTGAGCTGAAGAGCTGAGGGAAAGTGCCCAGGTGCAGACTTCTGCTCCCAAGACCAACAGAAAACAAAAAGAAACAAAAGAACCCCAGCATCAACAAAGATAACACCTCTTTTTTCCCTATATTGTAGTTTTTCACTCCCTGATTAGATTTTGTTGTTTGTTCCCTCTAGGCTACAAAAATGAAATTTGTTCCTTGCCAATGAATTCATTATTGATGTTCAGAAAGACAATCTTCAAATGTACATTGCACACTTACTACTTAGTTGAATTTGATATCAGATCTTAATTAATTCTGCCTTCTTTTGTGTTTTCTAAGTAGGACCATATTATCTACAGATAAGATTAATTTGACTTATCTATCCCTATTTATATCACTTTCATTGTTTTCACTTGCCTTATTACTTTGACTAAAATTCCAATCTCTATATTGATGAATAATTCTGAGAGCTTCATTCCTGATTTAGAAATAATTTCTTTTTTTTGTTGCCATTTGATATGATGTTGGCTTAGAGTTAGTTACTATGCTAAGGTACAATCTTTCTGTTCCTAAGTCTGTAGTGATTCTGTCATGAAAAGATGCTTAATTATGCACAAAAATTGACTAATAGCTCAGAGAATTCATATGATTTTATCTTTGACCTATTTGCATGTTGTATTCTGTTTATTGATTTGTTATGTTGAACAGTTCTTGCATTACTGGAATGAAACCAACTATTACAGTGCATGATTTTTTTGTTGTTGTTGTTGTTAGTTGTGGGGCTTGAGCCCTGGGCCTGAGCACTGTCCTTCACCTCTTCAGCTCAAGGCTAGTGTTCTACCACTTGAGCCACAGTGCCACTGCCGGTTTTCTGGTGGTTATTTGGAGATAAGAGGCTCATGGACTTTCCTGCCTGAGCTGGCTTTGAACCATCCTCAGATCTCAACCTCCTGAGTAGCTAGGATTACAAGCATGAGTCACCTGCACCTGGCATGCATGATCTTTTAAAGTACTTTTAAGTTCCATTTACAGGTATGGGTATTGATTTTTGCATAGATATTGTTGCAAAGATGTTTGCATCTTTATTTATCAAGGATATCACGTGTGTGTGTGTGTGTGTGTGTGTGTGTGTATGTGTGTGTGTGTGTGTGTGTGTGTGTGTGTTTGTGCATGTGTGCTACATATCCTCATTTGGTTTTGGTAGCAAAATAGTACTAATTTATTGAAAGAATTTTTAAAGATCTTTTTATTTTATGTAATAGTTTGAGAAGTATTAGTATTAGTTCTTTAAACTCAAATAAAATTCAATAGTGAATCTTTCTCACACTGGTTTTTATTTACATTTGGTTTTTGCAAAAATAACTGATTGGAAAATAGGATTGCTTTAAAGTTTTCTTGTAAGTTTCATGTAAAATATCTAAACTCAATGCTTCTTATTATTTTGATATGGAAATAAATTTCCCTAATATAATATCTAATTAAACTTTCTTCAACTATTTATAAATCTAAATGATTTAAAGCAGAAACTACATTTATCTCTAGATGATAAATGATGCATAGATAGATAAAAATAGACATATAGATAAATATAAATAAGATTATAATATAAATAAAATACCTTTTCAAATCAAACCCAGTACTGATGGCTCACAGATGTAATCCTAGCCAATTACAGTCTGAGGACTCTTATCTCTGATTATCAGCAAAAAAACAGAAGTAGAGATGTGGCTCAGTTGCTAGATCTCTAGTGATCTACCAAGCAAGAATGTGAGTTCAAGCTTCAGTACCAGTACACACAAAAATAAATTAAATCACTGGGGAATGTATCAACATATAAAAAAAAACTATGTCAAATTCATTGGAAATTTTAAGGGATCCTTGGTAATTGCTATGATAGTATCGATCTAGAATTTCCCCCAATGCTCATGTGTTGAACTCTTAGTCCTCTAGTAGTGCATCAGCATTCCTGAATTGCAGTCTTTGGAGAGTGTTGGGTCATTAATTATGTCTCTAACG